ACACACACACACACACACACACAGAATGAGCCCCTTTCCAACACACACACACACACTCTCTCACAGAACTTGGCTCTCCCCAGTGCACACACTTTGAGGCTCCATGGGGAGGGGCCTCACGAGGAGGAAGAGCGGGCCAGGGGCAGAGGCCGGGGGCCGAGGCGGCGGAGCCAGGGCGGGTCGGGGTCGGGCTCACCAGCTGCTTCAGGTCCTCCTCCGAGAGCTCCGCGTAGCGGTACCGCTGCTGCTCGAACTCGTAGCGGGTGGTCTTGGCCACGACCACGACCCGGGCCGGGCGGAACCCGCCCGCAGGGCAGCCGCCGCCGCCTCCCTCCAGCTCGCGGGCTTGGCCGTGCCGCCCGTGCCCCAGGTGCCGCCAGCCCCCGCCCCCAACGCCGCCAACCCGCGGCCCCGCGCTCTCCGCCGGAACCCCCCCCAAGGGGCACCGCCGCGCTGTTGCGGCCGCCCGGCTCCCCGCCACGCAACGGCAGCTGCACAGCAGGAAGCCTCGGTAGCAAGTCATCGTCCGTCCGCTCGCCGGGAGCGCGAGAGCCGTTGGCGCCCCCTCCCCCCACGGCGGGAGCCCGGCCGGGGCGTGCGCTAGTCCCCGGAGCAGCAGCCGCCACCTTAGCCCCGGCCGGGGAGGGGTTAAATGCAGGAGGGGGGCGGGGAGGGAGCGTGCGCGGCCCTGAGCCCCGGGGGAGGAGGAGACGTGCCGCGACGTGACCGGGGGCGGGGCGCGGGACTGGGGAAAGACTGGCGGTGGTGGAAGGAAGTCTGAGGCGTCCGAGCTTTGGCGGGCGGGGGCGCGTCCGTTTGTTTGTTTGTTGGGGCCGTGGCTACGCCTGCGCCGACTGCTCCTTATCGGGGCGCCCTGCTGCACGCACGGAGCAACCACGCCCCTTCCCCCCCCGCCTCCCCACTTCACCTTCCCAGCCAATCCAACCTCCCTGCAGCTCACTCCCACCCCGCCGAACTGGAGCGGGGAAGGGGATTGGCCAGCAGCCTGGGGGTGGGGCCGTCTGGCTGGGGAGCTCGGGAGCCAGCCGGGAGGAATCCAGCTGGAACTGGTCCGGGGTAGGGAAGGTGTGGCTGCAGTGGTGGGTGGGGAGAGGTCTGGGTGGCAGACCCCTACGGCACCTGGACCACCCGGCCCTGTATGTCGCGCCTTTCCTACCTTTGGTATCATCTGCACCAGCTGGATGCTAGCCAGGGCAGTTAAGCGTTGGAAGAGAGCCACGTAGCTCTTTGCATCTCTCTGATGCCTTATCGTTGGAAATACAGATGGAGAGGCAGTCTAGCACAATGACCCGCATGGTAGACTTGGATGCAAACCCACCTCTGATATTTAACGAGCTATGTGCATGAGAAAGTCACTGAACCTCTGAGCATCCAAAAAAATGGACTAATGCCTCCAGCCTCACAGCATTGTTGTGAGGCTCTTATGAAATAACATACAGAATGCAATTTACGTATAACTGTCAGTTTTTATCATGAGAGACCTCCGAAATCATCCTCCTTTAAGCTGGACTTGAACGGTTCCAGGCTAGTGCAATGAAAAGAGCAATGACTTTGGAGGCAGAGGACCTGGGTCCACATTCTGATTCTGCTACTTATTGCTGGTGAGCCTTGGGCAAGGCATATAACCTCTCTGGGTATGAGTCCACCAGTTGTTAAGGAGGACTAAAAAGCAGGCTTCCTCAGGCTAGAGCACACCCCATGCAGTGCTGACTGGGCACACTGGCGACTTCCAGGAAAATGAGGCTCAGTGCCTAAAGGCTTATTGGTTTGAGATGATGCTTGATCCTCTACGCAGTGTGTGCTAAAGGGAGGAGGGGAATGAGAAGATACTGCATCAAAGCCAATTACTTGGCCAATAAGCCAGGAGTGGCTTTAAAGGCAGTGACTATACTCTGGCTCTACCTGTCCAGCCAGTGTCAGCCTACTTCAGTATTTGGAAGGATTTGAGTTGAATCTTATATTTTAAAAATCTTACTCAACTTATTCACCTTTCCCGGTATTCCTCAAGGATTAAGAAAGGGCCATTTCAAATAATCATCTATGTGCAAGTCCTAGAATCCCTTCCAGCTCATCTCATTTCATGAACTCACAGATATAATACACCTTCATACATAGATACGACTAAGACTGTTTGGAGGATATGATAAAGGTGCACTTCCATCATAGGCTAGTCTCTTTGGGGAATTAGATGTTACCAGCTTAGTGTCAGGTGCTGACTGGTAGGGAGTTTAAAAGTCCTGTCTAAAGGACAAGTTTCAGATTAGTTGGACACAGCCTTGAAAGAAATACATATTCCAAAGTGATTGGTCTGAAATAATGGATTGAAATAAAGCATAGTTTGAAGAGACAGAATTGTTACATTGATAATTAAGAAAAATTTACGGGTTCTGAATGGAATGATTACATTAGCTTAAGTTTGAGTTGGAAGGGACCTCAAAAGTCATCTAGTTTAACTTACACCTGAGCAAGAATACAAGAAGGGATCATTCAGCTTTTGCTTGAAGACTTCGAATGAGAGAGAACTTAGTACCTACAATGGTGTGTGAATAATTTGGAGTGAAGTAAAGTAATTCATTAGCTTCTACAATATCCCTTACAACTGTTAACATTAAAATTTTTAATGTCTTTTTGCTTCAGTCATTTGCTTTACATTATTTGACATTGGCTTCACAAGATTTTGACATATTAAGTCTTCATTATGAAACTACACATCACATCCAATATTAAGTGTACCTTTGACAAACACAAATTTTTCCAGTCTTTAGTACTCTAGCTTTTGTGGGAGTTTTGCCCATGCCAATGTGTTTTTTTCCCCTTCATCACAACAGTTAGCAGCTATTTTTAATTGTTCTTCTCACTGTTCTTCCAACTTCAGGATGCATATGTTGTATGAGAAAGGAATCAGCAATCCCTCTTCCTTAACCCCCTCCTCCAGCTGCCAAGCCTTCTGAATATCTTTTTAATTTTTTTTTCCCTGAGGATTAATTGTATTTAATAGCACCAATTTATGAGCTCTTTTTCATTTTTGACTCAACTTTCCTTTGAGCTTCAGTGTGACTGATCTTTATTCCTTGTGGGTTCAAATGATACTTGAAACTCTTGATTTCCCCACACTGACAATTACTGAAGCATCATCTTTAAACACTAAAACTTGTACATTGCCATGCAGTAATATGCCTCCTTTGGTACCCCAGAATTAAAATCAACAAATGGGAGAAGGACTACATGTGTGTGGAATAAACTCAACTAAAGATGGAGAAACCAGGTCATTTTGATTTCATTTGGTCAATTTTAGACATTCTGAATCAGTCTAGTGTAAGAAGTGGATATATGTGAACATTGCTGTTAAAAAATTAAACCATATTGTTTCCCCAAATATTTTGCACACAATTGTACCAACACACGGCATTGTATTTTTGAATGACTCTAATTGTTAGTAGGTTTTTCCTGTCACTAAACCTAAATTTTCCTCATTGTTCCTAGTTCTGCCTTCAGAGGCCAAAAAGAACCAGGATGATTCCTATACCAGGGGACAACCCTTCCAATACTCAAAGGAAGTTGTCATATCCTCCCTAAATCTCTTCTCCAGATTAAGCATCTCTAGTTCTTTTGGCTGATAATTATACTGTATAACCTCAAGGCCTTTTATCATCCTTATTGTACACTTTGGACATTCCCCAGCTTATCAATATCATATACAAATCCTTAGACCTTTTTCAGAATTGCTTCTAAGCCCAAATCTCCCCATTTTGTATTTGTGAAGTACAAAACTTTACATTTATCTCTTATCTTCTTAGTTTGGGCCCTAAGTTCTCATCTGATTTTTCATCTACATGATATCCTTCCTAGGGGCAGCGAGGTGGAATAGTGCATAGAGTGCAGGGCCTGGAATTAGGAAGATTCATCTTCCTGACGTCAAATCTGGCCTTAAACACTTATTAGCTGTGTGACCCTGGGCAAGTCACTTAACCCTGTTTACCTAGGTTCCTCATCTGTAAAATGAGCTGGAGAAGGAAATGGCAAAACAGTATCTTTGCCAAGAAAACCCTAAATGGGGTCACAAAGTGTCAGACATGACTGAAAACGACTGAACAACATCTTTCCCAGCTTTATGTCATCTGGAAATTTGAAAATCCTGCTGTGTATGCCTCTATCAAAGTCATTGACAAAAATGTCAGCCATGATAGGGTCAAACCCAGATCCCTATGACACTGTAGTAGAGAGCATTAATGACTATTCTTTGGGTTTTACCATTCAACCAAAAATATCATGAAAAATTTTGTCAAATATATTACTGATATACAGGTAAAATATCATCTGCAGCATTTCCCTAATCTAAAGAGTTTAACAATCTTATATAAATAAATAAAAGGTTAGTTTGGCATGAACTCAATGAAGCCAACATCCATAACATTTTCTATGTTAAACTAAAGGGAAATTCCTCTTTGCCCCATAAATTCCTTTGTATAGCTTTTATATTTATTTTGTGTATATTTTATATGCTGTTTTCCCTCCTGTCCCCACCCCCCACCCCCAAATAGAATGTGACCTCTTTGACAACTAGGACTGTTATGGTTTTTTTATCTCTATATTCCAGGCACCAGGCACAGTGCCTGGCACATGACTGGCACTCAACAAATAATTGTTAAACGAAAGCATGGATCCCAGTTCTGCCATTTCTAGTTTTGTGACTCTAGGCAAGTCATTTAAACTCTCTGGGCCGCATTTTCTTCATCTGTAAAATTAGGGGGCTGAACTAGATGGCCTCTAAGATCTCTTCCAGTTTGAAATCTGTGATGCTATAATTTCTTTGTATATACCTCATGTTTAGTCTTAATTCTGTTTTCTTGAATATGCCGCAATGTATTTCACCATTTCCCTATTGTTGGACATTAGTCTATTTCCTGGTTGTTGTGGTTTTACAGAGTTTTGTTTTATTTATAATTATGTATAATGCTACAATGAAAATCTTTGCACAAATAATGCTTTCTAATAACACATTCTGGGTTGATTACCAACAGTGAAATTATTGGGTCAAGAATAACAACAGGCTATGGCTACTAGATAATACGGAGAATTGCGATAGGCCTAGAAACTGAGCTAAAGCACTACAAGAGTCCTCTGTGTGTCAAAGTGGGAATTGGTGGTGACAAAGCATTGTAGGGGATGGGGAGGGGGTGTCTTATAAAGAAATCCCAGATCCTCTGGGTCAGGGCAGTAAGTCAGGGATGTGAGGAAGCTCTCAAAATGTACCCAAGCCCTTTATGTTATGCTATAGCTTATGGCATAAAGGTTACATAACAGACTCTACAAATGCAATGATTGTTTATGTAGACAATATATAAGAAAAAATAGTAACAAAATTAGGGAATTCTCAGTACCCAAATGATCTTTCTATAATTGGCTTAAGATGTTATTCAGGGACATGTAAAATGACTATGGACCCAGTAACAAAATCTATATTGTCCTCAAATATCTCTTGCAGGATAGACTGGATTGTAA